TAAAGCACAAATAACTTCATTTTTTTTTAAGTATCCATATTTTCTGTTACGAAAGTGGTGTTTTTATAAGAACAAATGTAAAATATATTTCCAATCACATTCTAACCATACAAAAATAATTGTAAAGCATGGAGAGAAATCCTTTAATCTATTTTAAAATATTATTCCTGTTATGAAAGTGAAATTTTTGTAAGAACAAATGTGAGATATATTTCGAAATATATTCTAACCCTCAAAATTTAATTATAAGAAATATAGAAGAACCCCTTAATTTATTTTAAAGTATTATTCCTATTACGAAAGTGTTTTTTTATAAAAAGTTAAATATATTTATAGTCACGTTTTAACCATTAAAAAATAATTGTAAAAAGTACAAAAAGTTGTTTAAATTATTTTAAAATATTTTTACTGATACGAAAATGTTATTTTTTTAAGAAGAAATGTTAAACATATTTCTAATCACATTCTAATCTTTGAACTACTGGGGTTACCCTCGTTGTAAGCTAATTGGGGTAACAAATAGGCCTCCTGCCTTCACGCTGTATCTCTCCTTCTAGGCCTTTATATTTATTTTTATTAGCTGCCGTTCCTCTGCGCACCGGCCAGCCACTCTTTGTTTTGCCTTCGCACAGTTTTCACAGTTTTACACAGTTTTCACACATTTTTCATTTCGCTCCTTTAACGTTTGCCTTGTTTTATTTCTATTTTTTTTGATTTTTTCCTATTTTTTTTTGCATTGTTTTGTGCGGCAGCAATTAAAAATTGTTTTTTTTATGAGCAAACAAAAATTTTTGTTTACAACAAACAACAATAAAGCGGTAATAAAAAATCATAAAATGGCCGGCGCCAGAAAACAAGAAACAAGCGAAAAAGTGCTAATTGGTTAATTGTGTGTGTGAGCGAGGAGAACCGGTGCACCTGTATTCGTGCCTCTGTCTCTCTGCTCGTGCGTGTGTGTGGGGGTGTGTGTGTGAGTTTCCGTTTCCCGCTCAATAATTCAGGTCCTTAAATTGACCTCCGCTCAAGGGGGAACAATAAAAAAAAAAAATACCAAGCCATCTCAATGGGCATTTAAGCAAATTTGTCTACAATTTAAAGTTGTCGCTTTTTGTATCTCTCTCGATTTTGTATTCCTTCTTTTTTGTTCTATTTTTTTATATGTGTTTTTTTTTGTTGTTGCTTAATCCTTTTTTGCGTTTGAAAGGCGTCAGCTGCAATGCAGACAAAACAGGGCCACGCCCACTGGCAGAACCCCCGATCCAGATCCAGATCCAAGTGGCGCTTGTTAGTTTAAACTGATTTGCAATGTTTGACATGGGCCATAAAAAGCAACGAGGCAAACGACGACGACAAGGATAACGGTGAGATGGAGATAGCACAAGGAGCGGGCCGAAGAAGAAGGACATTAGACCACTCGCCCAGGTCGCCACACTGAGCGAAAGTGGGTGGTACATCGAAAAAAATCACTTGACACTCGAAATCACCTTAAAAAGTAATTTTTAGGTGTCTAAAAGTATGCAACAATTTATTTTAATCACGGTAGTGCTAAAATGAGAATATCCTTCATCCACTGCATACTCCTAGGCATCTGAAAATTACATTTAAAATTGATTTTAAAACGTAAAAAATTAAATTAAGCAAAGTAAACTTTCATAATATTTTTCCTTTTTTGTGGTTTACAACAAACTACAACAATAAATTCCCTCCCACAAAGAAAATTTCTGTAAATTTCACATGCGTTCATTTCACATTTCTGGTTTTATTTGCAGATGTTAACTTTATCTGCTAACAAAAAAGAATTTACTACCAATTAATTAAACAACTTTTGTGCAATTAATTAAGGAATATTTAATTAAATCTTTTAAAATAATTTTAACTCTCATCTGGTTAAATATTTTTGTGTAGCTCTTGCTAATTGAGCAACAATTCACGAGGCATGCACATAATTGCTGCTAATTTAATTTGCCTGGCATTCTGTTTTTTTAACAGTGCAGCCTGGCTGTTTGATGGCCTGGCCTTTTGGCATTTCTAGGCCACCCTTGGGCTTTGTTTTCAAGCTGAATTTTCAGCGACTGTCAGGGAAGGGTCTTGGTCCTGGCCATTTCAATAATCTCTTCATTTGGCCAGGGCCACAATGATTTTTTCCATGTTAACATTTTATTTGCCTGCACAATGGGGCGTATGAGCAACGTGGCTCGAGCACATCACCCAGCCACGTTGCTCATACGCCCCATTGTGCAGAAATTCGGACCCAAAGCCATAACAATGGCGAAACGAGAGCCACATTCTAAATGCTAAGTTCATTCATTCATTCATTCTGCACAGAAAACACAGGGAAACACAGGGAAACAGAGAAACACACAGATGCACACAGACATTTGCTTGTTTTTCGGCAACAATTAAAACGATTTAAATGCAAAACAGTCAACGCCAGAAGAGCACAGCCCCAAGTGGGTCATCTGCTGGCCGACACTGTATTAGCCAATTTCTGGATCGCCCCGATTGCCCCCGATATGGCCGAAAAGGAATGGCCGAGGCACAAAAGTCAACTGGCTAATGCAGTTAAGCCAGCATGGAAAATGCATCCAAATGCATCTCAGTAGATTAGAATGCGGCATGCATTCAATGAAACAAAGCCAAACACATATTTATGTGGCATATTTTATTAGACAATTGCAAGCAATATACTCAATAAAATTGAGTAGGTACGAATACCTGTATTATGATCATATTTTTAATCGCATTAAAACATAATGGCACGGCTAATAAACACAAAATATTTCTATCTCTTACAATTCAATAAAATCAAATCAACTACATTGAAAATAACAACTTGCAATAAAATTAAACCCCTTTTCATTCGTTGATAAATTGTGGTAATTACATTTACATGTGATCAGATAGACCAAATCGTTGGGCCTTTATTCACCAGTTGGCAAACAGTCACCCAAAAAGCCCCCCGCCCAAAAAAAAACACTCCACTCTCTTAAGTAAACTTGGCTTAATTACTTTTCGCCAAGCTTTTCCATCTTGCCAAACGAATAATAAACATCAATTTAGTTTCCATGTCAAATGAAGGATGCCAAAAGTGGCGAAGGATTTTGGCGCTTGGGCTCTAATTCAACATTTAATCAGTTCGTTTAATTTCCATGCACAAATCGCTATTTGTTGTTGTTCGGTCACAGTTCGGGGGCTTCCATTTGGCCCTTGACTTTTCCCCATTTGCCCGGATTTTACCCGATTTCCCACGATTTTCCCACGACGCCATGTTTTAGTGTGCGAATCGCTTTTGTTTGATTCTGTTGGCATTGCCATCGTTATTGTTGTTGCATTTAATTAAAAGCCCCGAATGCAGATTGAAGATGGCCAAAGTGGAGAGGGCAGAGTGGAGATTGGAGAATGGCGAATGGAGATTTCAGGGGGAACAGTGGCGAGTGGAGAATGGAGAATGGCCAACAATAGCTACAAGCTGGCTAAAATGAATAAATAGAGGCGCGTTTGCTATTTTGACAACCGCAACAGCAGGAACACAGAGAAAAGTGGGAGTTTGTGCTTTAAGTTTAAAAAAAAACCTATTTTTTAAGCAATTTTTTATTTAACAAAATAACTAATTTTAATTAGAAAAAGCTAGTCTCTTCGTAATACTTTTTATTTTTTATTATTTTATTTTTCTGTATTTCCTTGATTTATATTCCTGATTAAGGCAGGATTTTGTAAAAATCTAAATCAAATCGAAAAACATAAATGGAACAGTTGCTAATTTCTATATTTAACATTTTCATATTTATTTTCTATTTATTTTTATACGTGTAGCGAAAACAACAAGCGTTGGCAGCAACAATGGCATTTCCACTCCCACTGGAGCCATTCAAGTCACACACAAGCGCGTAAACACGCACACACACACGCGTTTCGTAATCGCTCAAAATTGTTTGGCAAACATTTTAAACATTTTCTATTGCATACGCACAGGGGCAATTCTCAAAAGTTGCCCCAAAAAAAACTGAAAATAAGGAAACGCATGTTTCGGCTGATTTAATATCAAAGTCTGGGCGTGGTCATTGGCTTTAAAAGACAATATGTATTGTTGAAAAAATATTCCTAGCTATTTTAACTTAATGTTTTTTTATTAACAAATTAAAAAAATAAAAAGTTTTTGTAAACCAATTAAAACCAAGAGGGTTATAAATTTAAAGTGGGCGTGACAAACACTAGCATTGTAAGAACTAATAGAATCTACATGCAAAATTTTAACTATCTAATATAATAATAACTATCTTACTTTAGAAAATGAGGGCGCCACTTAGCGGTCATAACTTTCATTGCTTATAACTTTTTAATTAAAAGATGGGTAGGTGCATATTGATACAAACAATTGAACAAACAAACAAAACAATCTACAGAGGATAAAATTTGCGTGACACATCAGAATTTTAAAATTGCGCTGCGCAGGAATCTCTAGAATCTGCATGCTTAATACCAACTTTCTAGCTTTTATAGTTTCCGAGATCTCAGCGTTTATACGGATAGACAGACGGAATAGCTAGATTGACTCGGCCAGAGATACTAATCAGGAATATATATACTTTATAAGGTTGGAAGCGCTTCCTTCTACCTGCTACATACTTTTCGATAAATACAATATACCCTTTTACTCTATGAGTAATAAAGATAATAATATGACAACTTTTCTGGCCCCATAAACTTTAAACTTAGCCATATGTCTGAAATATAGACAGGGATGCGATTTTTGTGGCACTCATGATAGTTAAATAACTCAATGGAGTTTCAAATTGCATAGTTTCGAGGCGACATCGTATAGATAATCTGAACCCTTTAAAAGGAATACAATATTATTTCTTGGTTTTTTGCCTTAAAGCTAACCCATATTTGCCCGTTTCCAACACGGCTTAACCCACATTGGGGCGCCTCGATTCGAAGGCACATATTTGCCTACCCAAGAAACAAAACATTAACTTTGGTCCTAATGCTAATCTTACCTTGGCACAAAAACTATTTCGCCTGCCGCTGTAGTGGTGTCCCCGCACCCACACACACGCACACAGGCCCACGTGGTCCTTCACACGGACAGGGGCTGGCTTCCTTGTTTTGGTTTCTGGTTTCCTCGAACTTTAGTTTTCAATTTGCATTCGGTTCCTTCGGCTTACAAGCACACCTTTTTCATTCCGAATTTTCCAATATTTGTTTTGAAGTTTCAGCCTTGTTTCTTTTTTATATATTTTGGGTTAAGTTGTTTCGTTTAGAACATTAAAAAAAGAGAAAAAAAATTTGGTTGGTCTCGCTCAGCTGAACTTAAAATGGGAAATGTTTTTAAATACAAATTCAAAGTACACTTGATTGACATTATTATTCATAAATATCTAAACTTCATTTGTAATAAAAAATGCTATGAAGTTAAAAATTTTAAAGTACTAATATACACATAATTCCAACACAAAAAGGGTTAAAACACATTAAAGTCTTGCTTAAATAAGCGAAACTGTATTTAAAAATCATCAGAATATTTTTGAAAGTTTTACCCTAAGTTCGTTTCAAGTTTGTTTTGTCAGAGAAAAAAGTTGGCTCTCTTAAGAAAGTGGCCCTATTCAATATCTTATATTATCAAATTTTAAAAAAGTAATACCCATTTATAGCCATTTAAAAATAAACATGTATAGTCCAATCCAAAGACCCTATATATTTGCAACTTATAAGTTTATCTTGCCAATTCCTAAGCTTTCGCATAAGTTTTCATTATAGCAAAGACCCCATTTGGTATGGTTACAATTTGAAAAGTAATAAATACTTTTCGCTGGCAATCAACAAGTTGTAAATTTGACGGGGATTCCCCTTTTCAATTTATTATTACGAAACATTGCATGTCAATTGATTTCTAATTCCCCTTGGCTGTTGTTGCCTTGGCAGCTCGCAAATAAAATCTCTCTTTTAGTTTGGCGCGACCTCCGCAATGACCGTGTAACAATTTCGGTTTTCTTTGCCCTCCCCCTTTTCTTTTTTTGTTGTTGCATTTTCCCTAACCCATTTTCTTATTTTCAAACTATTTTTTTTAGTTTTATTTTTCTTTGCCAAGAAGACGCGCGCAGCAGGCGAAAATTCAGAGAGCGCGCGTTTTTGGTTTTTGCTTATGTGGAAATGTAAAATTTCCGAAATTCGAAAAAATTTCAGTTAGTTGCATTAAGCACTTGGTTAGGTAATTTTCTAGCCTTAAAATAGCAACACACACACACACAAAAACACACACACAGTTGCGCTTACAAATGGCCAACTTATGTAAGCGTTTTGTGCGCGTTTTGCACGCGTTTCGGGCGCTGCTTTTTCCGCCCACGCCACAAAGTTGCAACTAAAAATTTGTTAACCCCAAAGGATGGAATTGCAAAAAAAAGTCTGCAACTTGTTTGCCCAGCTGTTTTGTTTGTTGTGGTTTGCTGACTTTATTCCGCTTGCCCCAACATTTTTTTTTGATAATTTTTTTTTGGCATTCAAATGTTTAATAAAAAATAAAAGTAAATAGTTTGTTGAATAAATAAAGAAAATAATGTTTAAAAACAAAATAAAAACCTACAGCTGAGGCGGTCACATGCGCGACACAGACACAACACACCAACACACGCTCACGCAGACAGACAGACGAAAAGGGGGCGGGGCGGCAGAGGCGGTGGCGGCGGCGGCGGCGGCGGGACGACGGCGGCGGCAGCAACAACAACGACAACAACAAAAAATCGTATAAGAAACCAACAACAAACGACAACAACCGACGACAACGACGACGACGACAACAACTTTCGACTTTCCACGACGACAACGACAACTTGCGACTTTAGCGCGTTTTTTGTGCTGTTTTCCTAGTGATTTTGGGAACTCTCTTTCTTTCTCGAAGCGAAACGCGTGCCGTCAGCGCTGAGTCCTGTTTCATACTATTTGGGGCCATCCTTGCATCCTGCCATCGATGCCAAAGTCCCGTTCGCACAGCACATTTCCCACAGCCTCTGCTGTTCCACCGCTGTTAACTTCGCCTGCTGCGGCACAAGAATTTCCCCCGCTGTTAAAATTTCCCTGGCATGCGCACCGTGTGCCGCGAATATGCGAATGCGAATGCAGGATGCGAATGCAGGATGCAGTTTCAATGCCAGCCGGCCAACGTTGCGGATGCGTGATGTGCATTGTTGCCACCGCTTTGCAGCGGTAATTTGGGGGGGGGGGGGAGGGATTCGAAGGGTCTCTGTTACCCGGAATTTGTCAAAATTATTACTACTGATTGCGTATCGAGGGGGTAAGAGAATTTCCCCTGGAGATATTCTGCAGCTTTCTTACAAAATAACTTGCTTTGCCTAGCCTTTGAACCCCTTAAATCTCTTGTAATTATTATAATAGTTGTTATAATTATTGTAATATTTTTAATTTATCTAAATTATTACTGCTGTTTGGAATTTATACCAGTTTTACATTTAGCATTCCTTGATTCTGCAGCTGGTTTGGGCTTTTAGGCACTCCAAATTACTTGAAATTAATTCCATTATAATGCTATTTATTATGTAAAGGGGTTTTGACTACTCGAGATCAGGGGGAATTAAAATTATTATTAAAATTCATTATAAAAGTTATTAGATCGAAAAAAAATCATATAAATGAAGGTATATTCTAGCTAAATATGGACATTTTGTACTATTTATATAACAACAAACATTTTTAAGAAACATTTTATTAATAATACAATTTAGTGAATCGAAAAAAAATTATTGAGGTATAAAAATATTGACTAATTTTATTATTTATATAACCACAAATATTTGTAAAACATTAAAATACAACCCCTTAGTGGTGCCAGAAATTGGGCAACTAACTTTTTAAATATTCCTTCGAAACTCAAGGCAATTTTGCCTGCAAACTTTCCAATTAAACCTACACTTTTAAGCCATGTGCTGAGTGAAGTTTACGCATCTATTTCGGCTAATAAGGTAAGTGGCAATTGACAGTCGTTAATGCTAACCGCAGTTAGGCACAATTACGCCAGCTGGAGCAAATCAATTTATTTATGAAAATTCGAGGCAGTGCGCCATGTGCAGTTTGTGCAGTGGGGAGTCTGACTGAGAAGTCCGCAGTGAAGGGTCCTGCATCCTGCATCCCGCGTCCCTCGTCCTTCGTCCTTCGTCCTGCATTGCACACGTGCACGGCATTAATGCAAATGAGCTGGATGTCGGATGCTGGATGTTGGCTGCTGGATGGTAAATGCGGAATGCCGGGTGCTGGCTTCTGTCTTCTGGCCGCTGGATATACGTACTGCTGCGGATGCGGAATGCCCGACTTGATGCCAAATTGAATTATGTTGGATGCCAGAAAGGTTAATGAAAGAGAGCGCCATTCTCGCACCCGGATACGGACACATCCACGGATTTGGATTCGGATTGGGATACGGATGAGGATGAGGATGAGGATGAGGATTCGGTGTCGGTGACGGTGACTGTGACTGCAACGGTGTCGGGCAACGAATTCAGATTCAAGCTGAATGAATTGTGATGAAGCACCACCGACCAACCACCTCCAACAAAGTGCTGTCGGGGGGCACTGAGATGACCATACATAGATGCGGTCGAACACTGTGAGAAGTGGCACAGGGGATCCTTTTTTTCATAAAAATAGTATATTTATTTTACTTGAAAAATGTATTTCTTTTTAATAAATTATTGACTTAAATGGGGTAATCAAAAATATATATAAATATTATTATTATATATATATTTTATATATAATAATAAATATATATTAATATTATTGTTATATTAAATACATAATTAAAAATGTAGAAAAGGTAAAAACCAATCAACAATTCCCCTTCCGTATATTTACCTGAATTAAACTTTTAAGGAATAAATAACAAAATTAAAATGTACTTCAGTCATGTAGTAATATAGAAAATTATAGTGGAACGTCTTTAATAGCGATTATACTTTATTTATTAGAAAATCTGAAGAATAATTACGATTTTAACATACATTTAACATTTTAGTTTTTATTTTTCCTTGAAAGTTCGATTCAGTTGCTTATTTTATGGATTAGTATAAATATAATACACATGGTACTTGGCAAAGATATAGAATCCATTAAAAACTTTAAATTTCAGTAAAGAACTAAGGTTAACTAAATGAAATTTAGATAGATGTAGGATTTATTTGGAATCTAGCAACATTCCAATGGTTAGAACTTAGCTGTCGAAAGGGCCCTCGAAAGAATTTGTTGTCTGAAATTTTTCAGAACATCTAGCAATTTTGTAGCAGCTCTCCATGGCATTTCTCCCAGTGTAGATACAAAAGCGCTGGCCATTGGCGACTGTCGACTGTCGGTTGCTGGTGGTCAGGCTGCATGCAAATTGATGCTTTTTGTGTTGGACTCTGCATTATCTTGGTCTGGATCTGGTTCTCGGTTTCGGTCTGGGGCTTGTCGAAGGATTCGGTTCGGTTTGCCCGGGACTGGAAAACCCAGGACCCGGGATGGGGAATACGGAATACGGAAAACGGGGATGTGAGCACCCGGTGCAGCTGGAAATGTAGGGGAAATGTGTTGCAGTGTAATGGCCAGTAATGTACGGCGGAGATTCATGTGGGACAACTGAAAATTAGAGCTAACGATGACTGACAATGTTTTTAGCCTCGACATAAACATGGGACTGCTTTCTTATATGGCCAAAGGATAAATTCTTAAGAGCTTTGTTCGATTTAATTAAGGAGTTCGCTTTCAAACTGAGTTAATGGCAATTCCAGCTCTCTTGTCAGTTTATTTCGATTACTTAAGTAGCCGAAGCACATTTGTCAGCATTTAAACAAATGTATTTGAATTGAAAATAGTTATTAACAACATTTTAGAGCGATTTTAAACTATAGGGACAGTATGCGCTTCATTTGATTTTAATCTTTTATTATTCCATCAAATGTAATGCATCAAGGATTTATTTTAATCGAACCTCTCGCGGCATATCCCTAGTAATCCAACATAACTCCACGCGCTTATCGCGCTTATCCAGCCCACATCCCGCATGAATATCCCCTTAATAACTCGGCTTTTCCATCTTTTTTGCCTTTCTGACAGCGCGAAACGGCAGTGAAAATCGGGAAAGAGGGAAATTCATTATAATAAGCCAGCCATATAGCACATACTTGGGCACTTATTTCAATGAACCTGCCGCACATCATTGAGCCATTAAGTGTACAAAGTGAGGCAAATCGGGGACTCCTTTCCCCGTCTCCTTGCCGTCATCAAGAAGCCAACTTTGCGTCAAATGCCTAAATAACCCAAAAACCGGGCTACCAAAAACCCATCCTTTTCCCCCTTTTCCGGGCCCCAAAGTTGACAACATGCAACTGGCATCACCAGAAAACCCAGCAAAATCCCAGCAAAAACCCCCCTCAGCAGCTACAGCATTTTGCGCCTCAATTAATTAAAATGTTTTGTTTTAATGCCTCGACAGGGATAAGGGAAAACCGAAGCCTCGTCCGTCGTCCTTTTCCTGACACATCCGACCGGCAGTCTAGTGTAAAATGCTGATTGATATTTCCCGGTTAATAACTTGGGTCGCCCCGATGCTTTTGGCTTTATTCAAGGTCGCGCAATAAAAATTAAGTTCATCCATCATTAATAGCCACCCACGACAGCCGAGATTCGATCGAAGAAGGTTGGGCAAGGCTCCTTTCACTCCGTCTTGTTGACAGCTTCAAAAATAACCGAAGAATGCTCTAAATACCCTTCAAAATAACCAGCTTTATTAGCAATTTAAATTGGTGAAATCAACAGCGGAAAAATCAGGTATAAATATGAATCAGTTGCCTTTGTTATCCGTTGTTTATAAAATATGGTTTTCATTTTTATTATATTTGCTTGGCAAACAGAAGAAAGCAATTATAGAAAAATACCATATTCCTTTCTTTGCCAACAAAGAAGAACATTAAAAGAATTTTTTATTGAGAGATTACAATACAGTTTATTGCCATTATTAGGATCGTGAGGTAGCACTATGGTTTTTCCCTTTCATTTATTTTTTTTGCAGAGTATAAAGGGCAAACAGGCAGGACGAAGGATAATGAGAGCGACGACGACTCAATTAGCGAGTCGAGCGCTGCATTTACATAACATTTGAAGCAAGTTTATTTAATTTAATTGTTGTCGACTCCTCGCCGAACGTCGCTCATTGTCCTTTTGCCTCGCCAGCTGTTATTGTTTTTTGAAAACAATATGGCCCCGTGCCTGGTGTCCTGATGTCCTGGTGTCCTGGTGTCCTGGGCCTGCTGCCTTGTTAGACAAACCGCAGACACACGAACAAAAGGACAACCAGGCCGCGCTAGCACACACACAAATAATCATTTTTGGTGGCGGCCAACAAAGGACTCCCGGCCATTGTTGTGTCCTCCTGGAAGGACTCCAGCTGCCAGCCCTCGTGTAATGATCACTAATGGTCGCTCAATCATCCGCTTCCCGGCGGATTCACCTATGGACCCTATACACCACCCAGAGGGAAGGACATGCCCCGCCGGAAGGACAATGGCTCTAGGGGTTAGCTTAAAATGTATATTTATATCTTTGGGTTAATTTAA